TTTCTGTTATCGAAATGTGTTCTGTTGTACATAGGGTTTTCAGAGGCCTGCTATTTCAGAAGTCATCCTTATTCATTGTACAACTTTCAGATTGGTAGGAAGTTATTGAAAAGTTTATGCCTTAGATCAGGTATATGTTAAACTTTAAACTAACATCATTCACTGCTCTTTAAAAACTTTTTTCCTTTATACTTAATATTGGCTTGCATCTTTAAAACTTTTAGGAAGTTTTTGACAGCAGATTTTCCCAATGCAACACACATCTTGATTTTTTTTGCTTCTGTTACTCTATGAATTTGGAGAAACAATGAAAGTTATACAAGTGTTCAGGTCCTTCGCTCAAAGGGTTGCTATGAGTCATCTTTGACTTGATGGCACTTAACAACCACAACGGTTGTTGATTGTGGATCCAAGTAAAATTAAGCCCTTGACAGTTTCAGTCTTTTCTCCATCTGTCATGATGTTCCTGTTGATCCAGTGGTGAGGAATTTTGTTTTCTTGATGTTGAGATATAATCCATATTGAAGTCTGTAGTCTTTGGTCATCTGTAGCAAGTGCTATAAGTTTTCTTCACTTTCAGCTAGCAAAGTTGTTAATGAGTCTTCCTCCAGTCCTGATGACGCATTCTTCTTCATACAGTCCATTTATTTGCATGTGCCCATCTAAAAGTTGCCATTTACCTCCTTCATTCTCAGCATAGTCTTACCCAGTCATATGGCAAAAATCAAAGTCAGTGAGCTACAATAGCATTGAACAGTCACCCTACTGTGCCACATGGGACTGGGCCCTGCAGGGCTTTATGGCTGGGCAGGCAGGGGGACAGGGAGGCAGGCAGAGGAGTCTGGGTTGTATTTCAGGAGTAATGAGAAGACACTGGTGGCTTTCACTGTGTAAGTGTGGGGTAGTATGATATGCGTTATGTTTTTAAAGCATGACGTTTGGCCTTAGTGGGAAAGGCAGGATGGAGACTAGGATGTGGCTCACACAGCCAGCTGAGCTGGGATGGTGGAGCCTTTAATTTAGCAGCTCCTCCGTTAAAATGACAACCTGTGTTTTGAGGTCTAACATCAGTTATGCCTCTTCACAGCTGGGGAGGCTACACTGCCTCAGAGTGTTAGGGTTGGGATTTAAACTCAGATCTAACACAAAAGCCAACATTATTTCCCTTCCAAAGTGGGGTTGGACCAGGGGTGGTGAAAGCGGATGTGGAGCCAGAGAGAGAGCCCAGAAGGAAATTGTGATGCTGGAGTAACCGTCTTTGTCTCTTTCTGCAGCTATGGAGTCAAAATCCGAGCCCCACATGCGCTGGTGATGACCTTCCTCTTTCGGAGCGGCAGGTATCCCACCTCTTCTGAGAATGCCTCCAACTGGGAGAGAACGTAGTCACCCCTCAGTGCCAGGATGGTCACACTGGCTTTCTGTCTGGCATGTCCCAAAAACAACACACACACACGCCCACACTCACATCCGCACACACACGTGCACGCGCCCCACCACCACCCTAAATTACAGCTTTCCAAAGATGCTCACTCCCAGGCCTGGCAAAGAGCCTGGTGGTACAGAGGTTAGGTCTTCAGCTTCTAACTGAGAAGTTGGTGCTTCAAACCCACCAGCTACTCTGAAGGAGAAAGATATAGGCTTCCTTAACGATTTATATAGCCTTTATAACTGTCCTATAAGACAATTCTGTTCTGTCCTGTAGGTCACTATTAGTTAGTATAATTTTGACAACAGTGGATTTGGTTTCAGTTTCCGGGCTAAGCATTCAAAACCCACTAGCCTGATCCGCCAGGTAGTAGTCACAAACTAGTACCCCACGTTCTCCCTGGAGAAGAGATGGGACTTGGTGACATTCCATGTGCATGCCACATGTGGTCTCACTCCACACTAGTGCTCAGACAGTACCTCTTCTTTCTTGCTCACCCCACCTTTATTTCCTCTTGGCCATCCACACCCATCCTCTGAGGATCACTTCCTCTGGGAAGCCGCCCCTCCCTCGCCCAAGTTTCCTGGCCTTCCTCTCATCTCTCTGACTCCTCTCCTGTTTGTTCTCAGGAACTTCGGAGCAGTCTTACACATGCAACCTCCTCTCAAATTTTTTGGACTCACACATGAGCAGCTTATGGGCCAACGATAGCTTGTAAGACTTTGTCTTACATTTTTTTATTTCTTCTTTTTTTGGAAGGGTTGCTCTTTGATTTAAAAAAATAAAATCAGTTCATCCATTCAATAACTATTGAGCATTTCCTATGTGTTATAACCAAAGTGCTAGGGATACAGCAGTGAACAAAATAATTGACCCCTGCCTTCTAGCCAGGACTAGAAAGTTATGGTAAGTTAGAAGGTAATATGGGCTATGAAGAGGGAAAAATAGAGCAAGGGAAGGGACTCAAGAGTACTAGAAGGGGCATATAGCAGAATTCAGTTGAGAAGGTCTCAGTGAAAAAGAAACGTTCTAGGTCAAGACTTGAAGGAGTTGACCAAGTGGATGCCAAGGGGATCAGTGTCCTAGCCTGAGTACAATCAGGCCTAGTAAATCTTAGGAGGCTGGAACAGAGGGATTGAGAGGAAGAGGAGAGTCGCAGGGGTAACCCGAGCCAATCCTGGACAGTTTTAGATCATGGTGAAGGGTTTGGCTTTTTCAGGTGAAAGCAGGAAATCATTCTAAGATTTTGAGAAGAAGAGTGTCATTAGCAGAGTAATATTTTCATAGTTTGGAGAGTTGTGAGTTTGCTGCCTGGGTAAGAACAGAGGACGGAGGCACAAGTAGATATGAACTAGGAGTTGGCAATCGTCCAGGTGAGCAGTGCTTTCGTTCACGGCAGTGAGGCTGAGCAGACGTGGTCAGATTCTAGAAACATTTCCAAAGTGTCATGAGTGCCAACATTTGGACATAGGCCTATTTCACACAGAAATCCAGCTTTCTCTGCCAGTATGGGGAGAAAACTGATAATAAGGGGCCCATGTTCCCTGAGGGTGAGACTTTACCTCACCGTCTCCTATCCACATTCATGTGACACGTTCTGTATGCTCCACTTTCCAGTGGATCCCATAGTCCTAATCTGGTCTTCAGGGTCGTGGTACTTACCATCCCTCACTTGATCTCCCAGAGTCTGCTCTGGCCACATTTTTTCCTTTCAGATATTTTGTTGTGGTGTTTTTTTTGTTGTTGTTTTTGTTTGTTTGTTTGTTTTAATTTTTTTTTGTGTGTGTGTACCATCAAACCAGATTTGACTGGTACAGGAGGAGATTGTCCCTCCTTCTCTAGCAGAGCATCGATGGATTTGAACCTCTCACCTCTGGGGTTGCAGTACAGCTTCTTGCCACTAGGCCACCAGAGCTCACCCATTTCTCCTTTTCTTTTTTTTTTTTATTATTTTGTGTGCGTGTACCGTCAAATCAGATCTGACTGGTACAGGAGGATATTGCTCCTCCTTCTCCGGCAGAGCATCTGGTGGATTTGAACCGGGTACCTCTGGGATTGCAGTGCAGCTTCTTGCCACTAGGCCACCAGAGCTCCCCTACCTATTTCTCCTTTTCAAAAGATAAAGAGAATCCCATCACTTTCCCTGTCTTAATCAGTGTTGCTGCTGTGACAGAAATACCATAAGTGAATGGCTTTAGCAGACAGAAATGAACTCTCTTACAATTTAGGAGACTCGAAGTCCAACTTCAGAGTGCTGGCTCTAGAAAGGCTTGCTATCTTTCTGTCTTCTGGTTCAAGGTATTTCCCAGCACAGGAACGTGGGCCCAAAGGACAAGCTTCACTCCTGGCTCTTCTTTCTTGGTGCTTCTAAGGGCCCTCAGATCTATCTGCTCAGGTCTTTCTCCTTTTATCTCTTGTGAAACAAAAAGTGATGCAAGCCACACTCACAGAAACTACACATCAGGACTGTGACCCAATTAAGAGTGTTGCATCCTCCTCTGCTCCCCTTACGACTGATTGACCACATCATGGGAATGGTTATGTGGTTAGTTAATTGCTTCTAATCCTATGTAGGATGAGGCAGGGCTTCATTCTCCTCTACGTGGGTCACTGAGTCAGAGCCCACTAGATAGCACATCACACCAACAATCTTGCTTCATTAACCTCATTGAGGTTGGGATTTACAGCACATCGGCTAAGTACATAATACTGAGAATCACAGCCTAGCCAAATTGACACATATTTTGAGGAACACAAATCTATCCATGAAACTTCTACTTAAACTTTCACTGTTCTCTGTACACCTTCAACCTCTACCTATGTCCTTTTGCCTCTGCTGTCATCAGTGACCTCCTTCACTCTCCACATTGTGCCCCCTCCAAGGGACTTGTGCATGTCCTGTTCCCTTTGCCCAGGACACACTCCCACTAACCACCCCATCCCTTGGCTTCATTGACTTCTCACCCTTCAGGTCCTACAGCCATCTTTGGCGAAGGTAAAAACTCAGCCCTGTGGTTTGTGTTTACTTATTTCCTACTTGGCTGCTAACTAAAAGGTTGGCAGTTTAAACTCAATTAGTGGCTCCCTGGGAGAAAAAAACCTGCTGTAAAAATGATATCACCTGTGAAAATTACAGCCAAGAATATTTATGTGGCAGTTTTTCTCTGCCACATGGGATCACTGTGAGTCAGAATTGGTTACACAGCACCCTCCCTGTGACAGCAGCAGCTCATAAGTCATAAAGGTAGTAAGTCCTCAAACCCAAAGTCTTTTTTTCTCCCCCACATCATAGGTGTCACATATTTATTAGTGTATCTGAAAACGTTGATACATAAAAACACTTGGTTTTCATGGGAAGTGATCAGACTGTGACATGACTTTAAACTTGATATGGTAGCACTTCAGTCACCTTGACACATTGCAATGCTAATGAACCTGGGTGAATATGTGTACCTTCAAGTGTGTGACTTTTTAGAGACCCAGAAGAACCCACTGGTTCTTCTCCTGGAGTTGTACCTGATGTTATTGCCAGTTTTCATTCAAATCCATTGAGGACTGAGATAGTTCTGCTTTTGTTTCTTGGCCAAGACCAGCTTTTTTTGATTCTGAAAGTCTTAGAAGAAGATGTAGTGAGAATGGGGATGAGGCTAATGGCGGAGGAAAGGAGAGAGCAAACCCAGTTTTGAATCTGTTCTGACGCATAATGCCCTTATCAGACGGAGTAGAACTGCCCCCCTTATGTGGCTGAGGCTGTAAATCTTTATGGGAGCAGACTGCCTCATCTTTTGAACTGCCAACCTTTTGGTTAGAAGCCTGGTTATTAACTTGTTCTTACTGTACCACCAGGGCTCCTTTGGGCCCCAAGTAGACCTATATTATTTAGGACTGTATCCTCAGACCTCATACATAATAGGCAATCATTCACTCCCTTCTTCACATGCCTACTCAAAAGTATGCCTTAAGCACCTATTAGGTGCCAGGCCCTGTTCTGGGCCCAGAGAATTAACAAGCCAGATCCTGGGGAAGTTCCACTGGGCATGGAGGTAGAGGTTGGGGAAGATAAACAAGTCTGTATTTGTGAGGTGGTGGTAAGAGTTATGAAGGGGAAAAAAACAGGGTAAAGAAATGGGGGACGCGGGCATTCTTTATTTACAAGCAAGACGACTCCGTGGGGGTGCTGCCTGAACAAGAGGGCTGCAACCCTGCTCCCATAGGATGAATGATCAAAAGACTGTGAGCTCATGGCCTGGGCCTGTTTTGCCTGCCTGGTAGAGCCCTGGTGGAGTCCTGCTCACCCAAAGGCTGTGCTATCTCCAGTGCTTTGAATGCACCAGAGATATCAAGAGAAAGATGGGCAGTTTCCTCCACCTCCAATTTACAAGCAACAGAAACTTGATAGAGAGTGGTTGTGAATTAGAACTTGATGGTAGTGAGTGGGTGAATGGGTGAATGCCCTTGACATGGCCAGGTCTGCACTCATGGCAATTTCTTGTGTCCTGCAGCCTCCGGGACAAGCTGCGGGCCATCCTGCAGGCCACATATATGCACTCCCGGAACCTGGCCTTATTTGTGTTCACCTACAAGGGGCTCTGCACCCTGCAGTCCCATGTGCAGGGGGAGACCTACCAGGTGCACTCATTCCTGGCCGCCTTCATAGGGGGCTTGCTGCTGTTCAGAGACAACAACAACATCAACCTTCAGGTAAAGAGTCCCCCTGAGGGATGGTGGGTAGGGGAAGAAGCTGAGCTCTTGGCTTCCTTCCGTGGTTGAAGGGCTGTGCTCTACTAGTCCCGTGTGACCTTGAGTTGGTCACTTCTGCCCTCTATTTCCTTATCTGGAAACCAAGCAGCTTGTTTGAATTGCATGGTTCTCCCAAATCAGTGTAACTGCTGCTTTTGAGGCAAAGATATTTTTGTTAAATCACTCTGCAGAGAGATGAGAGGAGGGGGAAATTACTTAAAAAAAAATCACTGCACTAAAAAAATTAATAATCTCTCAGTTTTTTATGTGTCCTTCCCACTTTTCTTTTTCTGCTATTTTAAATTGCCATTTTAATGAAACTAAATACTAGTTCCTTTTGTTTTGTTTAGATTTATTTTTGTTTTCTTTGATTTACAGAATTCGTATACATTGTGTTTCATTCATATGTATCATATTTCATTCTCTCATTCACATTGTTTTTCCTATGATCATTCCCACAGACTGTGTTTTCTAAAATCAATTCACCGTTGCTCTATACCCACTACTACCTGTCTTTTAAAGTCCCCACAAGATCTTTCCTAATTCTTTTGACGTCCTCCCTGTGGCCACCAAATTCTTGTGATTTCTCACTTTCAGCCCCCTGGCCTCTTCCTTTTCCCTTTTTGGATTTTTGTACACATTTAACTAGTTACCTTTCTATTTTTATTATAATGGTCTTTTGCAGTATTTGTCCATATGAGACTGAGTTACTTCACTCATCATAATGCTCTCCCACCTCTCCTGTATTATATAGCATTTTTCAAAATAGTTGATCCTGAATGCTACATAGTATTCCATTGTGTGAATATAACAAAATTTCTCAACCCATTCATTTCTTGATGGACATTTGGGTTGTTTCCATGTTCTTGCAATTGTGAATAATGCTGTTTTGAATATCAGTGTATAAATTTCCATTTGTAGCTCATTTCTGTTTTCCTTGGTATATTCCTAGCAGTAGAATAACTGGGTCATATGAAATTTTTATTTTCAGCTTTTTGAACAAATACCAAACTGCCTTGCAGAGTGATTATACCATTTTACAATCTCACCAACAGTATATGAGAGTTCCTATCTCTCCACATCCTCTCCAATATTTATTACTTTCTTTCCTGTTACTGGTGTGAGATGGTATCTCATTATGGCTTTGATTTGCATCACTTTTATTGCCAGTGATTTTGAGCATTTCTTCATTTGTCTGTTGACCATCTGAATGCCTTCCTCTGAGAAAAGTCTTCCCATGCCTTTTGCCCATTCTCTTATCATTCTTTTTCTTGTGGAGACCCTGTAGTGTTCTGTAAATTTTCAAAATGAGATATGGCATTGCCAAAAGTTTTTTCCCCAGTCAGTGTGTTTTCTTTTCACCCTATTAGAAAAATTTTTTGATAAACACAGAGACTTAATGTTTTAGAAGGTCACATTCATCGATATTATCCTTTCCTGGTTGTGCATTTTGTTTCGTTTTTAATGCCTTTCTTGGGCAAAATGAAATGAAAAGTTATTACCACCTGTTTACTAATTTCTTCCAAATTTCTTAAATACTCTCAGATTACAGAAATAAGCTACATTGACTAAAAAGTATCGTGACTTGAACGCCTCTTGTGTGCCAGAGTACCTCTAGGTGTTTGAAACACATGAAACAATAAATGGAAAAGAATAACTGTCATCCTTTCCTCCAGCTTAAGCCCCATGTTCCTGTTAATTGTCTTGTGAAGTGTTGTCAAGTCAGCTCCTACTTATATCAGCCTTATGGACAACAGAACTTGGGTTCTGCCCAATCCTGCACCATCCTCACCATCTCCATTGTGCTTAAATTATTGTCAAAGTCACAGTTTTCCTCTTTTTTGCTGACCCTTTATTTTTCCAGGCATGATGTCTTTCTCCCAAGTATTAACCCTTCCTGGTAATATGCCCAGAGATGAAGCCACACCATCCTTGCTTTGAGGAGCACTCTGGCTACACTGCTTCTAAGACAGATCTATTTGTTCTTTTGGAAGACTATGTTATAATTAGTATTTTTCACCAACACCACAGTTCAAAAGCATCATTCTTCTTATTTATTGACCAGCTTTCACATTCATGTGAAGCAATTCAAAATACCTCTTATGTAACACCATTCAGAAAATGTACTTATGTCAATGGGTGTGTCAGGTTTTCTACCTGAAAGATCTTATTATACTACATTGTTGTGTACCATCGAGTCGGAACCAACCCATAGCTGACCCTCCAGCAGCAGGTTTTCAGAGGCAAGTAAACGCACGGGAGGAAATTGACCACCCTTCTCCTTCGGAGCAGTGATGGACTTGAACCTCTTGCCTTTGGAATTGCAGTGCAGCTTCTTGCCACTAGGCCACCAGAACTACTTTCTCGTACTATAGCAATATATTTTGCTTGTATAGCAATATATTTTTTTATTGTAAATAGATTTTAATGAAAGTTTACAGACACTTTGGATTTCCTTTCATTCATTTTTGCACTTTTCTCCCTGCCCACCCCTCTGCCCCAGTTAACTTTTCTTTTTAAAAAGTAAAAGAAAAAATTCTTTCATTGTTATTCAGTCCCTCTCCCCATGTCCACTCCACTATGCTACCTTTGTTCTGGACTCCTGTCATAACAATAATATCTATTTAAACAGTTCTTTCATCTTTTTCAATGCAGTATATATTATTTATCCCGTCTTTCTCAGCCTCCCTCCAATCCCTATGTCAGTCCTCTTTTATAACAGTGGAATTATGCTGTGTTTGTCTTTTTGTGACTGAGATATTTCACTCAGCATAATGTCCTCCAGGGTCACCCATTTTGTATAGTATTTCATGAGTTCCTTGTTTTTCAATGGCACATAGTATTCCATTATGTATAGTAATATAGTTTGAAGATCAGTCTCATCCTTTCTTTTCCCTTAATTGTGGTAAAAATATACATAATAAAACACATCATTTCAACAACTTCTACATATATTATTCTGTTACATTGATTTTATTTTTCAAATTGTGTTCCCATTCTCACTATCCTTTACCAAATTGTTCTACTACCATGAACATAAATTTAATAGCTCTTGAACAAAACCTCGCTCCTCTTCTCCATCCCATGTCCTGTGACTTCTAAGAATTTTTAGTGCAATATATTTATCTCACAGAAATAAGATCATTTGTCCTTTTGTAATTCACTTATTTTGCTCAACATGACATTTTTCGCATTCATCAGTGCTATAGCATGCATCAGGACTTCGTTTCTTGATGTGGTTGAGTAATATTCCATTGTGTGTATTTACCACATTTTTCTAATCTATTCATTTGTCACTGGACATTTTGCTTGTTTACATATTTACATATTTTTTTCTTTAAATTTTTTTTATCTGTGTCTGTACCATCAAATAGATCTGACTTGTACAGGAGGAAATTGCTCCTCCTTTTCCAGCAAAGCATCTGGTGGATTCAAACCATGTATCTCTGGGATTGCAGTGCAGCTTCTTGTCACTAGGCCACCAGAGCTCCCTTCCACCCTCATATTTTTTATAAGATTTTTAATGAAAAACCTTTTTCACTTTTTTCTTTTTTAATGATTGTGAACCAAAAGACAGATGTTTCAAATCCACCAGCTGTTCCACAGGAGAAAGATGGGCAGTCTCCTCCTGTGCCATTTATAACTTCTGAAAACCTGTGGAGGATCAGCTGTGATTATTTCTGACTTGATGGCACATAACAACAACAACAGTAATTCTGTGTGCATCCTTGGGTGAAGGAAATAGTTAAGTGCCTAACCACTACTGGAAGGTCCGGCATGCTCTAGCACATTGTTGCAGTTATGTTGTCAGCCCATCAAGTTGAGAGTCCCTTTTTCTGATGTTGTACCTTCCCCAGCATGATGTCTTTGTATAGGTATTAACAACATGCCCAAAGTATGTGAGAGGAAATCTCACTGTCCTTGCTTCTAAGGAGCACTCTGGTTGTCTTTCCTTCAAGATAGATTTGTACTCTGCCAACATAATTCAAAGGCATCTATTATTCTTCAGTCTTCCTTATCCGTTGTCTAACAGTCAGATACATAGGAAGCAATGGAAAATAACATAGCTTTGGTTAGCCCCCTTTAAACTTTAAACTGACGTCCTTGTTCTATTTTCCCAGTGCAACACCTCTTTTAATTTCTTGTCTGTTTTTATCGTAAGTGTTGATTCTGGACCTGGATAGACTGAAATCCTTGACAGCTTTAATCTTTTTGCCATCTATCATGGTCCAGTGGCAAGATTTTTGTTTTCTTGGTTTTGAGATGTGATCCATATTGAAAGTTTCAGTCTTTGATCTTCTGCAGAAAGTGCTATACATATTTACTTTCTACAAGCAAGATTGTATCATCTCCATAATGCAGGTTGTTGATGAGTCTTTCTCCAAGCTTGACACTACATTCTTCTTCATGTAGTATGGAGAAAGAACACCACTCTGATGGATATCTGTCCTGATTTTAAATCATCAGTGTTCCCTTGCTCTGTTCAGACAGTTGCTTGCTGGTTCATGGTTCATAGGTAGATTTCACATGAACACAATTAAGTGTTCTGAGATTCCCATTCTTCTCAATGTTAGCCATAATTTTATATGATCCACACAGTCAAATACTTTTGCCTAGTAAATAAAACACAAGTAAACATCTTTCTAATACTCTCTGCTTTCAGTCAATATCCATCGACATCAGCAGTGATATATCTCATGCCAGGGATTCTTCTGAATCCAGCTTGAATTTCTGGAAGTTTGCTATCATTTTTTTATAACCTTTTGCAGTTAGTTCCACCTCAGTGGCATTGAGTGAGTGAGTGACATACCACTTCAAATCACCTTTGCACGCCAGCTTTGTAAAATGGACCCATGGTGCGTTTTAAGTGCCCCAGTGCATGTGAGGCTTGGTTTCCCAATGTCTGTGCCCACCCATAACACTCTGTCATTCCCTCCCTGCAGATCAACATGTACCTGTTGTCACGCGTCCTGTTTGCACTGTGCCGCCTGGGTGTGGAGAAGGGCTACATCCCCCAGCCCAAGTGGGACCCTTTCCCCCTGGTCACCGCAGTGGTGTGGGGACTGGTGCTGTGGCTCTTTGAGTACCATCGGCCCACACTGCAGCCCTCACTGCAGTCCTCCATGACCTACCTATACGACGACAGCAATGTGTGGCATGACATCTCAGACTTCCTGATCTACAACAAGAGCCGCCCCTCCAAGTGATACAGCCACAGGCACTCACTGGGCTTCCCCACCTGAGCTGGTTCCAGGTGGGGTCCAGCTGGTGCTCGATATTTGGCTATCTCCTTCCAGAGGGTCCTGCCTTTTCACGATCTTGACGGACCTCAAGCTCCAGCCTTTACTTTCCCAGGGTTACATTTGCTGAAGTAAAAACACTGATTCTCCGAGACCATCCCGGTCTCGTCGGATGGAACAAATGCCTTCCTCAGGCTGAGGAGCCTCAGGTTTGGTTCCAGCTGTGCTGCTGACATCTGTGTGACCAGGGCAATCACACCTCTCTTGTCCTAGGGTTCATGGGCTCACAGAGGACTCTGAGGGCACCTTCTGATGGGTATGCTCTTTGACTATTCTTGTGTAACAGAGGGCACCCTGCTAGTGGGCTGTGCATTATAGATACTTTTTAAAAAAGTATTCATTTCCTTCCCTCAGGTGTTATTCTGGTAGAGAAGCCCTAGAGTCACTGTTCACAGTATGAGCCATCTATGCAATTTAAATTTTCCTAGTAACTACTTTTCCTGAAAAGACATGTGAAATTAATTTTGATAATGTTTTTAACCTAATAGTTCTAAAAAAATGTTATCACTTTAATATGTAATTAATATAAAAAAATCAAGAGTTAATTTACACCCTTGTACTAAGTTTTAAAAAATCAGGTGGGGTTTTTTGTTTGTTTGTTTTTTAACAACAGTATCTCTCAATTTGGACTAGCTATATTTCAAGTGTTTAGAAGCCACACAAGACTCAGGGCCACCATATTGGACAACATAGATGCAGAATACATCTATCCTCATAGAAAGTTTTAGTGAACAGTACCATTCTACAGCTGGAGGACTAGGGTTTGAGGCTCTACTCCACCATAACATGCCTGTAAAATGAGGGTAATTATAATACCTGATTTCCACAATGGACTTGACAGCTGTCACTGTTCCTACTCAAAGATTCAAAGGTCAAAGACTTTGGAGTCAGAATCAACTCATAGCTGACCCTCCAGTGGGTATCTGAGGCTGTAAATTGCATGAAAGGAAATTGCCCATAATTCCCCTAAAGAACCACTGGTGGATTTGAACTGCCAGAACGGTCCAGCCTTTGAATTAGCAGTGCAGTTCCCTACATCCTACACTACCAGTGCTGCTGTTACTGCTATACTTAAATTAGACTCACCTACTTCCTGTTGGGTGCTTTGCACTTGTCATTGCTGATAACCTGATGTAGGGATTATGGTATTTTTTTTTATTATTATTATTTTTGTGTGAGTGTACCGTCAAATCAGATCTGACCGGTACAGGAGAAGATTGTCCCTCCTTCCCCGGCAGAGCATCTGGTGGATTCGAACCATGCGCCTCTGGGATTGTAGTTGCAGCTCTTTACCACTAGGCCACCAGAGCTCAATGTAGGGATTATGTTTTGCTCTCCATTTTACAGATGTGGGAACTGAGGATCAGAGGAGGAGAAGTAACTTGCCCAATGTCACATAACTAGTGTGATGGTGAAGGCAGGATTTGAACCCAGATCTGATTTAAAAGCCTGTAATTGTTTTGGAGAGTCCCCCCCCCCGCCCCCGCTTCCTTGGTTGCCTTGCTGTAAGTTTAGAAACCGTACTATGCAAATTTGTGCCCATTATAGGATCTGGGTGGGAGGGGGAGTATGAACTCATCTAGGGGCTTGACAAAGGTGGAATAAATGAAAAAGTTGTGGGTGCAGTATAGTAAGCAGGTGGTGGGGATGTGGTGAACTAGATCTGAATTTTAAAAAACTTCCATGCTGAACAAATCAAATAGTTCTCCCAGGAGATTTTATTCCTGGGCCACCAAGTTGAGACCTGTGGTTTGATAGGACTGTGTCTATTAATGTACTTACTCATCAGTACCTCTTTTAAAAAAAATTTTTAGTGTGTGTGTGTGTACACACTGTCAAATTGGCTCTGACTGGTACAGAAGGAGATTGCTCCTCCTTCTCCAGCATAGCATCTGGTAGATTCGAACTGTGGACCTCCAGGATTGAAGTCCAGCTTCTTGCCACTAGGCCACCAGAGCTCTCCACTATCTCTTTTTATAGCTTACAAGCCACTAGTAGAAATGTGCTCACGAGACACTAGGATTCTTATTAAAATGCAGATTCAGATTCTGTGGCTCTGACATGAGGCCTGAGACTCAGCATTTCTAACAGACTCCCAGGACAGCAGCTGCTGGTCTGTGGGCCACACTTGGAATATAGCAGCTAGTAGAGAATGGTGTGGCATCAAGGAACATTCTCCTACGTAACAAATGAGGGAATGTAATTGCCGCACTGTTAAGGTAATTGAGGTAGATGATGTCTGACTCTAGGGATCTCTGGTGGCCTAATGGGTAAGGAATTGTGCTGCTAACACAAAGGCAGGTGGTTTGAATCTGCCAGCTGGTCCACAGGTGAAGATGGGCCGTCTCCTCCCACACAATTTACTGTCTCTGAAAACTCAATAGAGGGTCAGCTATGAGTCAATTCTGAATCGGAGGCACATAATAACAAGACCAACATGTCTGACTCTAAAACCCCTATTCTCAGTCCCAACTTTATACTGTCAGCTTATTTTTGTTAGGTACCGTTGAGTCAAAGCCAACTCATAGCTGACCTCAGAGGCTTTTCAGAGACTGTAAATCACACAGGAGGAGATTGCCCATCTTTCTCCTGCAGAGCAGCTGGTGGATTCGAACCACTTGTCTTTGGGTTGGCAGAGTTGCCTGGTGATTGTGAAGGTCTCTTATATTTAGTCTTTGGCAGTTGAATAAGCTCTTGAAGGTATGGAGGTTGGCTATTATTACCAGTTGGGTTTTATAACAGACAATGCGTGCTTTGCACACATCCCCTCTAGTTTGCCACTGCAGAGAACACCAGCCAGTATTTCCAGTGGCCGCATCTACATCTGTTTGTTAAAGGCTTTCTTGCCACCTGTACCTGCTTTGCCATCCTATGGCATCCTAGAATGCGGGGGCACTATTACATCCTGGTAGCAGCCCTCACCCAGTGACTGGCAAGAAGGGGTGCCTCTTGCTTATCCCAAGGTGAGATCACTCAGGTGTGTGTTCTCCACTGGCTCCTAGAGCTCCCCAGGAGCATTAAGCTCCAGTTGCTCACAGCAGTAACTTACTTAATGACATACCCTTTCCTATCTCACTTCCTCATGCCCCTACCAGTGCTCTCTGGGACTATTTCCTAGCTAATCCACTTGCACTCAAATCCTGATCTCAAGGGCTGCTACTTGGGGAAGGCAAATTATGATGGAAGGTAGAAGGCAGTACATCACAGCTGAGACATGGGTTTGGTGCTGGACAATCCAGGTTAAAGCCCATCTCGTTCAAGTGGCTTAACCTTTCTGTGCCTCTGTTTCCTTACCTGTAAAATAAGACTTTAAATAGCATATAGCTGAGAGAATGGTCTTGAGAATTAAATGGCATGACATATATAAATGAGTGCCCAATAAATGTTTGCTGCTATTTCAAATACAGCTCTCAAATGTATAGAGAGAGGTCTGGTCCTGAGCACCAGCTTCACCCTGCTTTGTAGCCTTTCATGCCCTCAGCTGAAGGTAGAGCCTGGCTGCCTGCCCTCCACGTCCCCCCACTGTGCTGAGGGCTGGCCTGCTCCACTGCCGACCATCTCTGCTCTCTAAGAATAGGCTTCCCTCCCAGATGGCAGCTCTCTGAATCCTGCCAGAGCATCTGGTGCCTCCAACTGCACACTCTGGGAGGAAGGCGGCGTGGTCCTCACCAAGGAGCCGGCTCTGGCTGTCAGCAGACGTGAGAGGCATCTCCCTCAGCCTATTCCTAGCTGGGCCTCTGTTTCCTAGTACCTGTAAAACGAGGACCACCTCAGGAGCCTCAGCATCAGTAAGTGCTCTCAGTTTCTTGAAACAGGCATCTTCTACATTCCCATTAAGACTTGCGGGGGGAAAAGGTTTAAAAAGCAGTAATCCTAATGTAAAACTAAAAATAAACCAAACCCATATATAAACTCCAGCCCCAGTCCTGCTTCCTTACCATGGACACCCAGTGACGGCCCACTCTGACACAGACTTCCCAGGATAATCTACACACAGCCACCAGCTTTGTCTTGGAGGGAACTTTGACATTGCAGTGTCAGCTCTTGGCATCCCCCCTGTTCTCAGCTTGTCAGGTTCCTCTGTGCTCAATGAACTGATACGAAGACAGCGTTTCTTGGTGGTCAGCAGGTGTTTCTAACCTTACCCCCATGTTCCCTCCTCAGACATGTCCTCCTGTCATCAGAGTGAAGCTGAACCACCCTACACGTTTAGAGTCTTATAGTAGCTGATGCCCAGGCTGCAGGCCCATGGGACTCCTAGTGAAAGAGGAAGGATCATAAAATGGTGTTAATTTAGGGCCTTTCTGCTGCTCTAAGGAGCCCTGGTGGTATAGTGGTTAAAGTGCTTGGCTGCTAACCAAAAGATCAGCTGCCTGAGCCAACTAGCCACTCCTCAGGAGAAAAATATGGTGGTCCACTTTGGCAAGGATTCGCTGCCTTGGAAACACCATGGGACAGTTCTGCTCGGACTCAGGGCAGCTAGGAAATGGCAGGCGCTCAGCAGCAGTGGATTTGGGCTTTGGGTTCTGCTGCTCTGCTCCCAAATTAGAGCTTGTTAAGTGAACCCATGTGAGAGTGATGAATCACAGGTTTGAGACGCCAAGAAACTGCCTCCCGTGATGCTCACAGCCTGGCCCTCTGCTTTGTAGGCTCCTGAAAGGCCTTTCTGTTGCACATTGTTCACCTCTCCCACTCTCCTGAGTGCATTTGGGAGAATCGAGTTTACAACCTGACACCCAGAGTGAACCCCACATCACCACCATCTGTGAGTCCCCATGGCTGCTTGCCTTGATGAATTAGAGGAGATTTGGAAAAGGCACTGCTACTTTTCTGGTCTCGCCTTGTTTTGTTCCAGATTTAGAGGGCAAGAGCGGGTCTTACTGCAGCCTTGAAGGGCATTTGGGGTA